TATATATATATATATATATATATATATATATATATTTCCAATAATGGCTATTGGAATGAAATAGGGAGGATTCATTGTTAGGACTATTAACGATTCGATTTTAAGCTGAGTTGAGTTGCTCAAAAGCAGCTTATGGTACATTATATTTGATTCCGAGTTGAGCCGGCTCGAAATTGAACCAGCTCAACCCGACTAGAAATCGAAACCAACTAGCTCAAATTGAGCTATTTGGATTAGAAACTAACTGGCTCAAACTAACTTATTCCGATCCATTCCAACTCGAAAATTTGCTCGTAATTCAATATATTCAATTTTTCTCATCATTATTTATAATTTTCATAAATAAAAAATATTACGAGCCGATCCCGAGTCAGTTCAAATCAATCCATATACGACTCAAAATCAGCTCTGAAAAAAATTCAATCAAATAATTTCGCTCATAACTTAGCATATTTATTTCGATCCGCTCTCAATCCAAACCAAAATTCAAATCAAGTTTAAAGCGAATAACTAACAATCTTCGAGCTAAATCCACAACCCTACTTATAGCTACAAATCAAAACAAACCTATTCATCTAATGAACCTAGCCCACCTACTCCGGCGCCCTATCTTCAAGAAGAGGAGAACTGATATATTGTTATGGACTTATTCTATTTACATCATCCAGTCATTCTTGAAGAAGAGGAGCACTGATATCATGTAAGTGGATTGTTTGGTGCGAGGGGACAACAAATGAATCAGGAAATAAATAAGGTGTGCTGCTTGCACGAAATGAAAAATCTGAATCCTCAAGAAGTAGAATTGTCTCTTCAATCCTTCTTTCTCTAAATGAATCAAAAACCTTAAAAAAATTAATTAAGAAGGTTAATGTTGATACAATTGCCTGATTGATCGAGTTGAGAATTGATTAAATTGAAGGTACATACTTAATGATGCTACAAATCTGATAAAATGAAGTTGCAACCTCTTTTCCCACCTGCATTTGACTTAGACCACCGCATGATGCGAGGTCACATATGTGGCATCATGACCTCGCATCATGGGGTAGACAACATCTGAATGTTCAAAACACCAAATTTGCAAAATCAAGGAAAATAAATATGTCAGTCAAAGGTCAAATCTAATTAAATAATTGAAGTAAATTATCTTACCATAAGAAGGGGGCAAATACACTCATGTGCCCAAAAGAGCCCCGCAATCTTGACTTCTGAACTACCGTGTCAAGCTGGTTTATTAAAACCAAATTTGCAAAATCAAGGAAAATAAATATGTCTAGTCAAAGGTCAAATCTAATTAAACAATTGAAATAAATTATCTTACCATAAGAAGGGGGCAAATACACTCATGTGCCCAAAAGAGCCCCGCAATCTTGACTTCTGAACTACCGTGTCAAGCTGGTTTATTAAAAAACTCCATATTGTCGAAGCCCAATTATATGCACTAAACTCATTTACATCCTTAGAAAAAAGAAAGAAGATCTCCAAGACTTCAGGATGTTCTAAATATATTTTATTTTTTTCTGTGTTTTTAAAAGTCGAATATATCTTTTTATGCATAAATTTATAATACCAAAATGTCGTAAATATAAATTTTAAACCTTTGATGTTAGACATGTAAAATCATAGAAAATGTAGGGTACATATGTAAATTTACCTAAAATATTTGAACACACAACCAAAAGTAAGCAGCCTAAACTCATTAGAGCCGAATGTTACATGTTAGTTCTTATTCATTTTCCTCAATATTTTTTGTGACCTCAAAATATAAATTTAAACTAACAAGTATATATATATATATATATATATAGCCAAATGATTCATAAATCTTCTTAAATTTATTTGAGGATTACAGCGATTTCAACAAATAGCAAAATAATTCATTTTATTATGAATCTAATTTTATCTTAAAAGACATTAAAATTTTAGTTTCAAAATATGAAATGGAACAAAACAGACCTGAGAAAACAGAGAACGTCTTCACAAGAATGCCATAAATAAACCTACATAAGGTTTATCCCGAGTATATAGCAACCTTCACTAACTCTAATCACAGTAAAAAAGTCACTACAAAATCTCCATATTTAAAAAAATAAAAGCTTTTAACAAATATACAAAGCAATATTCCCTCAGAATCCATCCAGATGGTTGTGGCCTCATGATCTCATGACATTGAAGGCTTTGACTTATCATTAGCAACCTTTGCTTTCAAATATGTTTCTCATAAGCATCATCCTAAGTTCTTCAAATTACTCATTCCATGATGAAACCATCACAAGGATAAATATTAGTTTTTCAAGTCATTGAAGCAACTTTCTTTTCGAGTTTTTTGGCGTAACGGAGAGCTTCAAGAGCCTCATCTTGTTTTCCAGCTCTCTTAAGATTAAAAGCACGGAGCTTAGTAGCCTTTATCTGCTCTTCAAGATGAGATTGATCAGAAACCTTTTCCTTGATTAACAGGGATTGTGGTTTCTCAGAAGTTTTAGAGGCCAGATCCTTATCATCCCATCCAATGGATTTAAGGGCAGCCATGAGCTGAGGATCAAGAAGATCCTCCACTGCATCGGTGCCTGCAACACTACTGCTAGAAGCATGAGCCATCCCTCTCTTCTCCCGCTTCCGCCGCTTCTCCCTCCCCCCCGACCTCCATTCCTTCCCTCTCGCCCTCTCAGCCTCCTCCCGTCTCCACCTCCTCCCCATCGGCCGTGCTCTCCACGCTCAATCCCTCCTCTTCGGCTTCTCCTCCAATCTCTTCGTCCGAAACTCCCTCATCTTCCTCTACTCCTCCTGCTCCTCTCTCCCCGACGCCGAAGCCATTTTCCTGCACAACCGCCTCGCCGTCGACACTGTTTCCTACAATGCTCTCATCGTTGGTCACGTGAAGGCCGGAAATCTGAACAACGCCCACAAGCTGTTCGACGAAATGCCTCAACGGGACTCCGTCTCCTACGGCACCATGATCACCGCTTATTCCCACTCCGGCCACCACGACGACGCCCTGCACCTCTTCGATCAAATGCAGGCAGATGGATTCATGCCGGATAATGCCTCCCTGGTTTCATATCTCTCCTCCTGCGCACATGCTGGAGAATTAAATCGCGGCAAAGTTATCCATGATCACATTACCAGGAACAGAATTGAGCTCACCGTCTCCCTGTTAACAGCCCTGGTTGACATGTATGCCAAATGCGGCGCCATCGAGGCTGCACTCGAGCTGTTTGACGGAAGTCCCATTCGAAATCTCTTCACCTGGAACTCCATCATAGTTGGTCTGGCAATGCATGGCTATGGAGACCTTTCGTTAGCATACTTCGATAAGATGGGAGCTGCTGGAGTTAAGCCGGACGGCATCACTTTCGTGGGGGTTCTGGTGGCGTGCAGCCATTCCGGGCTCGTGGAGACGGCAAAAAAGCTTTTTGGGGAGATGGAGAGGGTGCATGGAGTGAGGATTGAGCTAAAGCATTATGGATGCATGGCAGATTTGCTCGGCAGGGCCGGGATGATCGAGGAGGCGGTGGAGATGATCGAGGCGATGCCGGAGAAAGGAGATGGATATGTGTGGGGTGGTTTGCTCGCCGGCTGTCGAATTCATCGAGGGAATGTCGATGTTGCTGAGGTTGCGGCGAGGAAACTTCTGGAGATCCGTCCGGGGGATACCGGAGTTTATTCGGCCATGGCGAGGATTTACGCCGACGAGAGGAGATGGGACGATGTGGAGCGGATTGGAAGAATCATGGATGCTGTGAAGGTGAAGAAGAATGTTGGATCCAGTTTGGTTCAGTTGTCTCCCACAGTTTAATTCTATAATGGTGATGGAAAACATGGGGCAATTGATCTATTTTTGTTATATAAATACATTACTTAATTCAAAAATCAGTAATTTAGATGAATAACATTGCAAAATTCTCCTACAAACAATTAACATTTTCTTACATTCTGACACCACCACCACATTTTTACAGATTAATGCCTTGTCTTTTTAACAGACCAACAAATCCTTCAGCAAATTTTCTGCCTGAACCTTCAGACCAGTATCGTCCCTTCTGACCATGTTGAGAACTAATCCTCTAAACCTCTCCAACTCCTCACTGATATCTGGATGCCTATAAATCTTACAGAAAAGCCCAAAAGCCTTCTCCTTCGCACACAGCTCTCCCCTTTCCAACACCTCAAGTATCGCCACCGCTCCGCCGCACTCCACAATGGCCGTCGCCGCTCCGTTCAAGTCACAACCAACATCAAACAATGTGTCGAGCGTCGTTAACGCCGCTTCGGCCAAACCAAACTCCATGGTTTTCACCATCTCGATCAATGGCTTCACCGCCTTGTCCATCACAAGGCAGATGAGTCCCTGCGGAGAGCATCTGGATCTATGCACGGGACAACCATCTCCTTCCCTTACCGACCTTCTGACGTAAACAAGACGACGGATGAACGGCGAAGATGGAGATGATCGGCTTGCCAATGATGAACGCGCGATGGTTCGAGATAGATGGGATAGAATTATGGCGGCTCGCTGCTTTGCGAGAGAGCTGCCGGTTGAGAGAATTTGTATCAGATCAGTTCGGAACAGCTTGCAGACTTCTTTGTGAAACTCTGAGCTGGGTCGGGATCGGTTTACGCAGCGTAGCAGTGCTCCAAGAGCTTCCTCCAAATACAAATTGGGGTTGCTTGAATGAACGATTAAGGAACGGATGGATTTCAGTAAGGCAGAGCTCTGGAGCATGTCATTCATGCTTCTATCATCAGGCGAAAGATGGGCGAGGACGCCGGCCGCAGCGGCTGCCACGGCGGGCGCGGGGCGACCCGTCTATCAGAGAGTATTGTTATGAGGGAATGAATGATTGATTCTTTAGAAGGGGAGGAGGGGAGAGGGATAACAATATGATGTTTTCCAGCAATGTAGTATATTAGCTTCAGAGCTATCATTTTCAGATCTCTGTTCTGCTCCAAACCGATCGCAGAGAAGAGAAAGCTCAATGCGCCATGATCGGAAACTATGAACTCTCCCACTGCAGCTGAGTTCTGTGCCATAGCGGCGAGGAGGCGAAGCAGCCAGATTTGGTCCTCAGGAGCGGAGGTTCTGATCTGGTGAAGCAATTCTCGTATGCCGTCGGACGAGAAGAGAGGCCGGAAGCTGGGATGGCTAGGTTGAGTTGTTTGAATGAGTGAGATCAGAATCTCTACTGCTTTCTGCTTCGTTTCATCATCTGTAGATTTGGTCGTTATCAGGGATAGGAGAGCAGTAATGGCGGATTCGTTCTGGAGGAAGGAGGTCTTCAGTTCATGGAAGGCTATGAGGTGTTTGATGCAGTTGAGGGAGGCGATTTTGGTGGGTGGAAAGTTGCAACTGAGTGACTCAGTTAAGTGAGTCATGAATCGTTCATTCTGTAAGTTTTTTGCAGAAGTTTCTGTTAGCTGAATCTGAGATAGTCTTTCTGCCATTTGAGCTCTGATCTCGTCAGAAATCTCTGCTTGAATGAGATCAGACAATGTGGAATAGTAAGAATAGAGACTATGTAGGTTTGTAGAATATAAGCATTATATAGGGGCATTTACATACATACTACTAAGTATTTACATATCTAATACCTAGACTTTAGTTATACCACCAAAATCTTCATATCACATAAAAAATTTCGCTAGTTTCACATTTAAAAGGTTAAATACATCTTTTCATCTATAGGCAGGTGACAATAACAACAAGCCTTTATCCCACTAAGTGGAGTCGGCTACATGAATCTTTTTCCTCCATTGTGTCATATTTTCATTTAATTCTAATAAATTAAGATCATTTTTTATATAACAGGTCCAAATTTTTATAGGTTTACCTTTGCCTTTCTTAATATAAGTCGAATCTAAAAGATCTACGCTCTTAACCGGATCATCAGATGGTTGTCATTTAATGTGATCAAACCATTTAAGATAACTCTCTTTAATCTTGTGTGCCACTGGAGATACACCAACCTTTCAATGAATACATTTGTTTTGCATTTTATCTTGAAGTGTCAAGCCACTCATCCAGATAAACATTCTCATCTCAATAACACCTAATTCAGTTTTATGCTTCTCTTTTAAAGGCCAACATTTTGTGCCATCAAACAATGCAAGCCTCAGCATAATCTTATAAAATTTTCCTTTCAAGTCTAAGCGGTATTGTTCTATCACACAATAGGCCAGATGCATTCCTCCACTTAAACCATCCAACTTAGTTCAACTAATAACATCTCCATCTAAATGACCATCACTTTGAACAATAGATCCAAGATATCTATGATGTTCACACCTTTTAATGATTTGATCACCTATAGGTACAACTTTGCCACTAGATATACTACTACTAAAATTACATTCCATGTATTGAGTTTTAAATCTACTCAAACTAATGCCTTTAGACTCCATTGTAGACCTCCATAATTCAAGATGACACATGCAAAATTTAAATTTTAGGCATTAGATATGTAAATACACAAGAATTAAGTGGTATGCATGTATATCTTCCATATGAATAATATATAGGGGAATTTACTTACATATCACTAATTTCTTATGTATTCACATATCTAAAATGTAAGCTTTACTGTTAACATTTATACCACCCAAATATTTCTTATCACATCAAAAATATTTTACTTTTTAAAAGTAAAATACACCTTTTCATAAATAGATAAGGTGGCATATTGGTAAAAATTAAAGTTTAGTTGTTAGTATGTAAATACACAAGAATTGAGTGGTATGCATGTAGGACTATGTAGGTTTGAAGAATATGAGCATTATATAGGGGCATTTAAATACATACTACTAAATATTTACATATCTAATACCTAGACTTTAGTTAAACCACCAAAATCTTCATATCACATAAAAAATTTCGCTATTTTCACATTTAAAATGTTAAATACATCTTTTCATCTATAGGCAGGTGACAATAAAAACAAACCTTTATCCCACTAAGTGGAGTCGGCTACATGAATCTTTTTCCTCCATTGTGTCATATTTTCATTTAATTCTAATAAATTAAGATTATTTTTTACACAATATGCCTAAGTTTTTTAGGTTTACCTCTGTCTTTCTAAAACATCTACGCTCTTAACTGGATCATCAGATGGTTGTCATTTAATGTGGTCAAACCATTTAAGACGATTCTCTTTAATCTTGTGTGTCACTAGAGATACACCAACCCTTCAACGAATACATTTGTTTTGCATTTTATCTTAAGTGTCAAGCCACTCATCCGCATAAAAATTATCATCTCAATAACACCTAATTCAGTTTTATGCTTCTCTTTTAAAGGCCAAATTTTGTGCCATAAAACAACGCAAGCCTCGCCATAATCTTATAAAATTTTCCTTTCAAGTCTAAGTGGTATTGTTCCATCACACAATAAGCCAGAAGCATTCCTCCACTTAAACCATCCAACTTAGTTCTACCATCACTTTGAACAATAGATCCAAGATATCTATGATGTTCACACCTTTTAATGATTTGATCATCTATAGGTACAACTGTGCCACTAGATATACAACTACTAAAATTACATTCCATGTATTGAGTTTTAAATCTACTCAAACGAATGCCTGTAGACTCCATTGTAGACCTCCAAAATTCAAGATGACATATGTAAAAATTAAATTTTAGGCATTAGATATGTAAATACACAAGAATTAAGTGGTATGCATGTATATCTTCCATATGAATAATATATAGGGGAATTTACTTACATATCACTAATTTCTTATGTATTCACATATCTAAAATGTAAGCTTTACTGTTAACATTTATACCACCCAAATATTTCTTATCACATCAAAAATATTTTACTTTTTAAAAGTAAAATACACCTTTTCATACATAGATAAGGTTGCATATTGGTAAAAATTAAAGTTTAGTTGTTAATATGTAAATACACAAGAATTGAATGGTATGCATGTAAATCTTTCATGTGAATAATATATAGCGACATTTACATACTTACCGTTAATTTCTTATGGATTTACATATCTAACATGTAAACTTCACTCTTAATATTTAAGCCACCTAAATCTTTCATTTCACATCTAAAATATCACTACTTTTAACTTAAAAAATATGTGTAAAATGCACCTTTTCATGCATAGGTAAGGCAACATATATATAAAAATTGAAATATAGGTGTTAGAAATGTAAATACATAAGAATTGAATGACATGAATGTAAATCTTCCTAATATAGATAGAATAAACAAAAATGCCATGGATATTTACATAAAATGTCTTGTTGAGTTTGAATAATTGACCTGCACTCATGATTCATTTTTATATCAATAACATCTGATTTCTTTTTTCTTAACAACGCTCCCAATCACATTAGATTTTTTCTCTATCTTGGATAGTCACTAGCTCTCAATTAGAGATCACGCTATGACATTTTTGTATTTTTTTTCATAATAAAAGGATTCATATAGCCAACCCCACATAGTGGGATTAAGGCTTTGTTGTTGTTGTTGTTGAATAAACTTCCTTTACAAATTTCACGACTTCCTCCATAATATCAAAAATATACAGGAACTCTCCTACAAATTTGTAAAAGATGTTAGAATTTGACTCAAAAGTGGAAACGTGAACCAATCAACCAAATGATAACAACAACAATATGACTTGCTAGTAAATAAAAAATTTATAGGGAGCCGTTAGAATTTGACCAAACATAACGGGGAGCATCCTAATAATTAATTAACTAGATTTCGTTGTAAGTTCAACTTTTTTTTCTTTTTTAAAGTGCCAAAACTAAATAATTAATTAACTAAATTTCGTTGTAAGTTCAACTTTTTTTTCTTTTTTAAATATATGTTATGAGCGTAAATTCATATGAATAATTAGGAAATTTTATATGTATACCACTCAATTCCTATGTATTTGCATATCTAACATCTAAAGCTTCAATTTTTACATGCATACCATCTTACCTATGCATGAAAAGGTGTATTTCACTTCTTAGAAGTTCAAATAGTGATATTTTTTTTTTATGTGGTATGAACCATTTGGGCGTTATTAATGTAAAAAGCAACGTTCAGGTGTCAGATATGTAAATATATAAGAATTGGGTGGTATGTATATGTACATGCCCATAGGGAAGATTTACATGCTCGCCGTTCAATTCTTATGTATTTACATATCTAACAACTAAACTTCAATTTTTACAAACATACCACCTTATCTATGCATCAAAAGGTGCATTTCACGTTTTAAATGTAAAAATAGAAGTATTTTTTAAGTGATATGAAAGATTTAGGTGGTATAAATATAAGAACTGAGTTTAGGTGATAGATAGATACGTAAATACAAAGGAATTGAGTGGTCTGTATATAAATGGTCCTATAGGAAGATTTACATGCTTACCACCCAATTCTTATGTATTTACATATCTAACAATTAAACTTAAATTTTTTCATATATATGCCATGCCACCTTAATCATGCATGCGAAGGTGTATTTCACTTTCCAATTGTTCAAATGGTGGTTTTGAGGTGGTATAAATGTAAATGCCCCTAATTAGGGTTTCTAGTAAACCATATCGACATATATGACTTAATGGATCTTCAGATATATTCTATGATGTTCATCTCGGCCATGCTTGAGAGTAAGTAATCAGGGATAAACAATACAAAAAAATTGCTGAACTCACCTTGCGAATTGAAGTGCTCCAGGAATGGAGTGAAATACCCAGACTTGGCCATCGTGACAGTGGAGTTGATATCAATAGAGAGGTTCTGCAGCACCGTGCGCGCCATTTCTGCTACAGTTGAGCTCGGGTGGTCTAAAAAGGAGATGAAGATGGAAATAGAGATTGGAATTCCTACAATCTTCCCTGCAGCAGACTTGTTTCTGGAGAGATCCAGCAACAGAGCAAGGGCAGTTGGATCTGTTGCTGGATCCATCATGCTCTGTTTTAGAAGGCATTTGATTACTCCACTTCTTCCTATTATCTCCTGCAACAGATTACTGCACATTTCATTATTCGTGTAAATGTAGAATCAAATATGGTGAAAACAAAATCAGTTCTGTTTTCTCGGAGAGTTAATTACTCACCTTGTTCTCGTCGGAAAAGCAAGAAATCAGAAGCAAGCATTTCAGCACCGTGGAAATATTTTCTACGCTGTTATTCTTCAAAAGCTCTGCGAGCTTTGAAATAAGTTTACAGGAGCTCTCCGTGGCTGCACTGACGCAGCTTGGTATCTCTATCATCAGAGCGTGCAGGTCACCGAGCGCTTGATTTGTGTTCTCCATGTCATCTAAGCTTATTTTTGTAGCCGCCTCTATAAGCTTCTTCTTCGCATTCCTCTCCGCATTGATCTGCTCTTCCCGTTTCTTCCACTCCAATATGGAGTTGCGAAGCGTAGAGTTCGAAGTGATCTCTAATTTCCCAGTTGAGGAAAGTTCCTTGTTACAAAGAGGGCATAAGTTCTGCCCCGCGTCGAAATACTCTTCTATCGCCTTCCTCTCAAAGCTGTGGTTGCAGAACACAGATACAGGATCCACCAGAATCTCCCCAGTCAAGGGGCATAAGAAGAAGGAGCTTGGCGGTAATTGTAGGTATGAATCTACATCCGACCTCTCACCTTCTGGTTCCCGAGCTTCGATCTGAATCGGCAAAGGGCAGACGCTACTGCTCGCGGTCCCTTTTGACCTGCTAATCATGAATAAACCATGCGAAGTTTGTTGTTGATTCCCACTGTTCTCAGAGATGTGCGAATCAAGACTGGATAGAACTGCGTTGTAATTAGTCGAAAGCTTAAGCTGTAAGGATTCAACACCTTGAATAATCGCGTCGGCCGTTTCTTTGATGTTAAGAGCAGTGTTGATCTGGGCGAATGGGAGGAGCTGCAGAACGGCGTAGATCTCCTTGGAAGATTGATTCAACTTCCAAACAACCGATCGACAGATGAAAGAACGGAATAGACGGGGTTTGGATTTGTAACCATCGATGATTTCTCGAGCCAAGTAGACCTCGGTTTCGATTCTCCGTAGCAAGCGAGCAAGCTCGATCGTCGCCTGCTGCGATTGAAGTTTGACAAGAAGTTCTTGTACGTGGATCATGTAGTCGGCATATCGACGGAAGTTGTCATCCTCCTGCTTGATTGAATCGGCTGCAGCGATTAGGGTTGATAGGTGGTCCAGCACTCCCTTGAGGGCCTCATCCCTTCCGTTCGTGAGAATTTCCATGCCGGCTTTGAACTCTCAGTTCGGCGAAGGAGGGAGATGGCGGTAGAAAACTAGGAAGAGAGAGAGAGAGAGACGCACAGAAGTTGGAAGCTCGGTGGAAGGGATGAGCCAGTGGCGCAGAAAAGCTGAAGAGAATATTACACCATCATGTGAGTGAGTCTGTACATTACGTATAATATCAAGTCTTTATACATATCAATATACTTCTCAAACCCTCCTATCTATACATGTAAAATTTTCACATATTTTATTTACGCACGGAGGTCTCTGTTGCTCAGAGCATTCCTTTCATCGCGCCCGTTCTCACACTTATTTACGCACGGAGGTCTCTGTTGCTCAGAGCATTCCTTTCATCGCGCCCGTTCTCACACCAATGAGCGTTATTTACGTACGTCATACGCATGCAGTTCTGCGTGGGTATGATCTCAAATAATCTTCCAATAACTCAGTTATTGGGGGTATTAACCCCAATAACATCTAAATAACCTCTCAATAACCTATCAATACATTTCGCGGTTCGACGCTCGTATTTTTCCCTGTCATTCGAGGGTTTCGTGAGGTTATTGAGAGTATTAACCTCAATAACAAGGATGTAACCATTCAATACCCTTCAAATAACCTTCATACACACACAATTCTACGTGCGTATGACGTATGTAAATATTTTTCCACACCCATTTTCTTCTCTAAGATGCACGACAACTTACCCATTCATCTTTCTGGTTTTATCACGCACATTGGCTGCTTCTCTTCTCTCTCAAATCTGAAGCTCGTCCTCTCTCGCTCTCTCGCTCTCTCGCAGATCCTGGGGTCAAGCCCTCCTCCCTCTCCACTCCCATCTGCTCGCCTTAGCCGCAAACCCAACCCCTCTCTATTGCCGTCGGAATCCCCTCACCGACAACCTTCTCCCTCGCGAATCAAACATGTTCTTCCTCCATCTCTCTGCTCCTCTCTATCCGACAACAAACTCTCCTGGCTTTTCCCCTCACCTAACCTCATCTACTCTCATTCACGCCACCTCCAAACATTTTATTTACGCACTGAGGTCACAATCACGCCTCCATGCGTTCTTTTCGTCTCGCCCGCGCCGACACCCTAGTTCTTGTCAATGTTTGGAGGTGGCGTGAAAGAGAGTAGAATGAGGGTAGGTGAGGGGGAAAGCTGTGAGAGTTTGTTGACAGTAAGATCTATCTCGGAAATGCTTTGCTCACGGCTTATGGAAGTCGGTTGGTTAGACATGGGATATCAGATTGTCCCTGTCAGATCCTCACGATGACACGTCATCTTCTTCCGCCACCACTGGGGTATCCTCAAGATTCATGCTAACACGAATTTGATATACATATATATTAGTTATGTAACAAAATTGATACACATATTTACACAACATTATTACTTGTGTTATTCATTTTTAAGTGAGGAGGGAGTGTACTAACATTTCCATATACCTTCATTTGCTGCATTTGAATCTAATATTTTTTCTTTTAACA